CCTAGGAGGGCGGTCCGGATTGCAGAGATAAGGTCCTTAGGGCATTATCTCTGCAATATCAGAATTTAAGCAGCAAAAATAAAGAAAAATGCTGATGTGAGTGGACTGGCTAATTTTAAGGCCCTAGATCTGAAATCTGACCTTGCGGGGAAGAGATCTAGCCGTTTTTTGTAGGCTGACACAAAACGGCTAGCTCCGGAATGAGTTGGCAGCAAAATGGAGGGAAAACAAAGAGAGGTACAAGACAAAACTGCGTATTTGACACCAAGGATTGGGCTAGATACACCAAAAAAAAAAAAAATTGAAGTAAAAGGCTCAAATTTGGGCCAAGGGGAGCTTGGGGGTAGCTCGGAATGATGAGAACCATGGATCTCAGCCAAATCCAAGGCTGGGATTGGAGCCGCCACTTGAAAAAATGCAACGGCATACCCAAAAGAGACCTAGACCAAGAAAAAGAAGAAAAATGGGCCTCTAGGCCCTCAAATTTCAGTAAAGGCTGCATTTTGGGAAGTGATACCCCAAAAGGCAGCTCTTTTTGAAGTAAAGAGAGGCCGGGGTAGGCCAAGGGGTAGTCCGAGAGGGTACCAGCCACTCGGACTGCATGCACTTGACCAAAATGAGGCCCGGTTACCTCCAGATAGGCCAAGATCGGAAATTTGGCCTTGGGGGTACCTCGCTCCGCCTAGAGCCACTTGGGGAGACCTAGGGGTTAGGCGGTGCACGAGTTCCAGCCTACATAAGCTTAGAGTGCAGGCCGCCACTCTCATTTGAGCATGAGAGGAGCCCATGCTGCCCAAATGAGTCCATGATAGAGTCCTAGTGGACTAGAGCAAGGGAGAAGGGGCCGGAGCTAGCATGGAGCCTGACTATGGTGATAGAGCTGAGGGAGAAGGTCTAGAGGCTTGAGAGAAGCAAAGGAAGTGATCCGTCATAGCCCTCAGGCTGTGTGGTAGGAGAAGAGGCTGAAAGAGGTCCCTTTAGCCCTTCTAGAGGGAAGGACTCCTTAGCCTTAGAGGTAGGAGCTTGCCATAACCTGAGAGGAGGTGTGAGAGAAGGAGGAGAGAATTTGGGGAGGTGGAAAAGCTATACTCAAGGAGCTAGAAGCCAAGCCCGGAAGCCCGTTGACTAGAGACCAGTGAGAGGTGAGTAAAAGAGGAGGAAATTTCTCCTTTTTCTCCCCTTCTTCTTCTTCTCCTCCTTCTTCTTCTTTCTCTCTCCTCTTCTTCCCCTTCTCCTTCTTCCTCTCCTTCCTTTCCCTCTCCTCCTCCTCCTTCTTCATCTACTTCCTCCTTCAAAATCTTGTTTTTTTGCTGATTTGGATGCTTGTGTGTGTTGCGATTCATCTTGGGATACTTTGGTGATGTTTCCCCTAGTGTAGATGTTCTCAAACTGGTGTTTTTGCTGATTTGGATGCTTGTGTGTGTTGCGATTAATCTTGGGATACTGCGGTGATCTTTCCCCTAGTGT